ATGCAAGAAAATTGGTAAGATTCTTCAGAAACGTCACTTTTGAAGTGTTTTCTTGTACTTTTAAGCCAATCAGATACTCTACGGGCTCGGAAAGAGCAAAGAAACCATCAAATTTTAGCTAGAAACTGTATTTTTGTCGATTTTTATTGAATTTGAACTATATTTCAACATTTTTGGATGGTTCTGAGCCACGAAACACACTTAAAGCATGCAGAATCGTCTCAGATTAGGAAAAGGAGATGTTTAGGTCAATTTTATGCATTCTGGCGTTCGTAGATACAAGAAAATTGGTAAAATTCTTCAGAAACGTCACTTTTGAAGTGTTTTCTTGTACTTTTAAGCTAATCAGATACTCTACGGGCTCGGAAAGAGCAAAGAAACCATCAAATTTTAGCTAGAAACTGTATTTTTGTCGATTTTTATTGAATTTGAACTATATTTCAACATTTTTTGATAGTTCTGAGCCACGAAACACACTTAAAGCATGAAGAATCGTCTCAGATTAGGAAAAGGAGACGTTTAGGTCATTTTTATGAATTCTGGCGTTCGTAGATACAAGAAAATTGGTAAAATTCTTCAGAAACGTCACTTTTGAAGTGTTTTCTTGTACTTTTAAGCCAATCAGATACCCAACGGGCTCGGAAAGAGCAAAGAAACCATCAAATTTTAGCTATAAACTGTATTTTCGTCGATTTTTATTGAATTTGAACTATATTTCAACATTTTTTGATGGTTCTGAGCCACGAAACACACTTAAAGCATGCAGAATCGTCTCAGATTAGGAAAAGGAGACGTTTAGGTCAAATTTATGCATTCTGGCGTTCGTAGAAACAAGAAAATTGGTAAAATTCTTCAGAAACGTCACTCTTGAAATGTTTTCTTGTACTTTTAAGCCAATCAGTTACCCTACGAGCTCTGAAAGAGCAAAGAAACCATCAAATTTTAGCTAGAAACTGTATTTTTGTCGATTTTTATTGAATTTGAACTATATTTCAACATTTTTTGATGGTTCTGAGCCACGAAACACACTTAAAGCATGCAGAAACGTCTCAGATTAGAAAAAGGAGACGTTTAGGTCAATTTTATGCATTCTGGCGTTCGTAGATACAAGAAAATTGGTAAAATTCTTCAGAAACGTCACTTTTGAAGTGTTTTCTTGTACTTTTAAGCCAATCAGATATTCTACGGGCTCGGAAAGAGCAAAGAAACCATCAAATTTTAGCTAGAAACTGTATTTTTGTCGATTTTAATTGAATTTGAACCATATTTCAACATTTTTGGATGGTTCTGAGCCACGAAACACACTTAAAGCATGCAGAATCGTCTCAGATTAGGAAAAGGAGACGTTTAGGTCAATTTTATGCATTCTGGCGTTCGTAGAAACAAGAAAGTTGGTAAAATTCTTCAGAAACGTCACTTTTGAAGTGTTTTCTTGTACTTTTAAGCCAATCAGATACCCTACGGGCTCGGAAAGAGCAAAGAAACCATCAAATTTTAGCTAGAAACTGTATTTTTGTCGATTTTTATTGAATTTGAACTATATTTCAACATTTTTTGATGGTTCTGAGCCACGAAACACACTTAAAGCACGGAGAATCGTCTCAGATTAGGAAAAGGAGACGTTTAGGTGAATTTTATGCATTCTGGCATTCGTAGATACAAGAAAATTGGTAAAATTCTTCAGAAACGTCACTTTTGAAGTGTTTTCTTGTACTTTTAAGCCAATCAGATACCCAACGGGCTCGGAAAGAGCAAAGAAACCATCAAATTTTAGCTATAAACTGTATTTTTGTCGATTTTTATTGAATTTGAACTATATTTCAACATTTTTTGATGGTTCTGAGCCACGAAACACACTTAAAGCATGCAGAATCGTCTCAGATTAGGAAAAGGAGACGTTTAGGTCAATTTTATGCATTGTGGCTTTCGTAGATACAAGAAAATTGGTAAAATTCTTCAGAAACGCCACTTTTGAAGTGTTTTCTTGTACTTTTAAGCCAATCAGATATTCTACGGGCTCGGAAAGAGCAAAGAAACCATCAAATTTTAGCTAGAAACTGTATTTTTGTCGATTTTTATTGAATTTGAACTATATTTCAACATTTTTTGATGGTTCTGAGCCACGAAACACATTTAAAGCATGCAGAATCGTCTCAGATTAGGAAAAGGAGACGTTTAGGTCAATTTTATGCATTCTGGCGTTCGTAGATACAAGAAAGTTGGTAAAATTCTTCAGAAACGTCACTTTTGAAGTGTTTTCTTGTACTTTTAAACCAATCAGATACCCTACGGGCTCGGAAAGAGCAAAGAAACCATCAAATTTTAGCTAGAAACTGTATTTTTGTCGATTTTTATTGAATTTGAACTATATTTCAACATTTTTTGATGGTTCTGAGCCTCGAAACACACTTAAAGCATGCAGAATCGTCTCAGATTAGGAAAAGGAGATGTTTAGGTCAATTTTATGCATTCTGGCGTTCGTAGATACAAGAAAATTGGTAAAATTCTTCAGAAACGTCACTTTTGAAGTGTTTTCTTGTACTTTTAAGCTAATCAGATACTCTACGGGCTCGGAAAGAGCAAAGAAACCATCAAATTTTAGCTAGAAACTGTATTTTTGTCGATTTTTATTGAATTTGAACTATATTTCAACATTTTTTGATAGTTCTGAGCCACGAAACACACTTAAAGCATGAAGAATCGTCTCAGATTAGGAAAAGGAGACGTTTAGGTCATTTTTATGAATTCTGGCGTTCGTAGATACAAGAAAATTGGTAAAATTCTTCAGAAACGTCACTTTTGAAGTGTTTTCTTGTACTTTTAAGCCAATCAGATACCCAACGGGCTCGGAAAGAGCAAAGAAACCATCAAATTTTAGCTATAAACTGTATTTTCGTCGATTTTTATTGAATTTGAACTATATTTCAACATTTTTTGATGGTTCTGAGCCACGAAACACACTTAAAGCATGCAGAATCGTCTCAGATTAGGAAAAGGAGACGTTTAGGTCAAATTTATGCATTCTGGCGTTCGTAGAAACAAGAAAATTGGTAAAATTCTTCAGAAACGTCACTCTTGAAATGTTTTCTTGTACTTTTAAGCCAATCAGTTACCCTACGAGCTCTGAAAGAGCAAAGAAACCATCAAATTTTAGCTAGAAACTGTATTTTTGTCGATTTTTATTGAATTTGAACTATATTTCAACATTTTTTGATGGTTCTGAGCCACGAAACACACTTAAAGCATGCAGAAACGTCTCAGATTAGAAAAAGGAGACGTTTAGGTCAATTTTATGCATTCTGGCGTTCGTAGATACAAGAAAATTGGTAAAATTCTTCAGAAACGTCACTTTTGAAGTGTTTTCTTGTACTTTTAAGCCAATCAGATATTCTACGGGCTCGGAAAGAGCAAAGAAACCATCAAATTTTAGCTAGAAACTGTATTTTTGTCGATTTTAATTGAATTTGAACCATATTTCAACATTTTTGGATGGTTCTGAGCCACGAAACACACTTAAAGCATGCAGAATCGTCTCAGATTAGGAAAAGGAGACGTTTAGGTCAATTTTATGCATTCTGGCGTTCGTAGAAACAAGAAAGTTGGTAAAATTCTTCAGAAACGTCACTTTTGAAGTGTTTTCTTGTACTTTTAAGCCAATCAGATACCCTACGGGCTCGGAAAGAGCAAAGAAACCATCAAATTTTAGCTAGAAACTGTATTTTTGTCGATTTTTATTGAATTTGAACTATATTTCAACATTTTTTGATGGTTCTGAGCCACGAAACACACTTAAAGCACGGAGAATCGTCTCAGATTAGGAAAAGGAGACGTTTAGGTGAATTTTATGCATTCTGGCATTCGTAGATACAAGAAAATTGGTAAAATTCTTCAGAAACGTCACTTTTGAAGTGTTTTCTTGTACTTTTAAGCCAATCAGATACCCAACGGGCTCGGAAAGAGCAAAGAAACCATCAAATTTTAGCTATAAACTGTATTTTTGTCGATTTTTATTGAATTTGAACTATATTTCAACATTTTTTGATGGTTCTGAGCCACGAAACACACTTAAAGCATGCAGAATCGTCTCAGATTAGGAAAAGGAGACGTTTAGGTCAATTTTATGCATTGTGGCTTTCGTAGATACAAGAAAATTGGTAAAATTCTTCAGAAACGCCACTTTTGAAGTGTTTTCTTGTACTTTTAAGCCAATCAGATATTCTACGGGCTCGGAAAGAGCAAAGTAACCATCAAATTTTAGCTAGAAACTGTATTTTTGTCGATTTTTATTGAATTTGAACTATATTTCAACATTTTTTGATGGTTCTGAGCCACGAAACACATTTAAAGCATGCAGAATCGTCTCAGATTAGGAAAAGGAGACGTTTAGGTCAATTTTATGCATTCTGGCGTTCGTAGATACAAGAAAGTTGGTAAAATTCTTCAGAAACGTCACTTTTGAAGTGTTTTCTTGTACTTTTAAACCAATCAGATACCCTACGGGCTCGGAAAGAGCAAAGAAACCATCAAATTTTAGCTAGAAACTGTATTTTTGTCGATTTTTATTGAATTTGAACTATATTTCAACATTTTTTGATGGTTCTGAGCCTCGAAACACACTTAAAGCATGCAGAATCGCCTCAGATTAGGAAAAGGAGACGTTTAGATTAATTTTACGCATTCTGGCGTTCGTAGATATATATATATATATATATATATATATATATATATAAGTAAGTAAGTAAGTAAGTAGTTTATTTACGGAATTGAACTTTCCATTAGTACAAAATAAAATAATACAATAAATAATAAGATATTACCAGCGTACAAACATATTAAGAAATATAAAACAGTATACAACACTCCAGATGGGTACACAAAAACACTTAAGACAAATATAAAACAACCAAACCATTACAAATGACTTATCTTATGACTTAATTACTAGTTCGAATTAATTATGAGTCTTCTTGCTTGGAACTTAAAGGAAGCGTATCACTTACCAGAAAAAAAATCTAGTTTGTCACCATACTTATTACATGCATGGGATATTGCGTTTAACGGGCAATTAAGTGCATAGTTGGTTTTGGCGGATGCAATCTTAAATACAGGCATATTCCTAGTAGGATATTGAGGGACATACAGCTGAATGTTGCCTAATATGTCCTGTGAATCAATCAAATTGTTGAATAACTTGTACATAAAGCATAGAGCAAAAAATTCTCTCCTTCTCTTTAGCAAAGAGAAGCCGAGGTAGTCCCTGCATAGGGCAATATCTTGGCGTACAAATGAAGGTAGTCTACTTTTTATGAAGTTAATAAATTTAATTTGCACAGATTCGATTCTCCCCTCATGTGTGCGATAATATGGAGACCATATTAAGCAACCGTATTCGAGAATAAATCTTACATTAGACACATATAAGGTCGAGAGCGTTGCGATATTCCGAAAGCCTCTGCAATGTCTTTTAACTGCACCCAGTGATCGATTTGCTTTGTTAACAATGAAGTCATAGTGCGATCTAAACGAAAGTTTGTTATCAAGTAGAATACCTAGGTCTTTAACTACCGGCTTCAAAGCCAAATTTGTGTTATTGAGCATATATTTAGGAATTGATGAAGAGAGTTTCCTACTAAAATTTATTGCAAAGCATTTATCTGAGTTCAGTGACATGGTATTAAGCGTGCACCATTTATGTAATGCATCGATGTCAGATTGTAGTGCTTGGACGTCGCGATCTGAATGTATAACATTATATATTTTCAGGTCATCGGCGAACAATCGGAAGTTACATCTAAAATTGTAGCCGATATCGTTAATAAAGACCGAGAAAAGGATGGGGCCAATTACTGAGCCCTGAGGCACTCCGGACGGCACTGTTTGCACGCGCGAATAACAGTTCCCAATTTTGACCTGCTGGGTTCTTTCGCTCAAGTAACTCTTAAACCATTCAAGTAAATTTCCGGCAATACCATAAGCTTGTAACTTTTGAATAAGGATATAGTGATTCACCTTGTCGAATGCTTTGCTAAAATCTGTATATATCGCGTGTACCTCAGATCCTTTGCCTATCGCGTTGATGATAAAATTAACATAGCCGATTAGGTTAGTAATTGTAGATCGACGTTGAAAAAACCCGTGTTGTTCTTCCACTAAAACATTTCTCAAAAGGGGAGTAACCTTCGAACAAACAACTCTCTCGAATACCTTGCTAACAGAAGAGAGAATCGAAATAGGGCGGTAATTGACAATTTCTGTTATTGATCCAGATTTGAAAATCGGGACTAAATAGGCATGCGTCCATGCTGCCGGGAAAATGCCTGAACTTAATGACATATTGAATAAAACATGCAATGGTAGTACTAGACTGTCCTTACAATTTTTGAGTAAAACAGGTGGTACGCCGTCAGGACCGCAGCCTTTGGTGACATCTAGATTTCGCAAGGCAAGATCTATTTCGCAAGCGTGTATAGTGATAATACTAAGATCTACAGAAATGTCCGACTTTAAGTGAGATTTTACAAATTTGGAGTCGTCATACACCGAGTAAAAGTAGTCCATAAAGGCATTGCTAATATCAGTTTCACTAGTTAAAATGGACTCTCTATATTTCATCTGTGGAGGTAAAGATGTTCGCGTTTTAGTTCTGATAAATTTCCAGAATTTCTTTGGGTACCTTTTTAAGTCCGTCTCTAAATTATTTAAATACGATGTGTAAGATGCCTTTATGCTCTCCTTACACTGGCTTCTCAACTTGTCAAATTTTAAATAGTCCGCACCACTTTTACTAGCTTTGTACTGTTTGTGGGCAGCTTTTTTCATTTTAACTAATGATATTGAACGGGAGTTAAACCATGCGGGGTAGGTTGATTTAAATTTATAACTAACAGGAACGAACAGAACAATTGCTTGATACAGAAAAGAATATAAACTGTCAAGTGCCTCATTAACATTAGAGGCGGATGAAAAAATTTCTAGCCAGCTAATGTTACTTAAAAACCTGCCTATTTCTTCATAGTTTGCTCGTTTGAAATTGTAAAAGGAATCGATACTATTGTATAATAAATTATCCTGGTAACTATCTAGATACACAACAAAACAAGGGTGGTAAACATCAAGTTTAGAAATAGCGGCACATTTTACCAATTCGATGCCACTGCAGTTACAGAAACATAGATCAAGAATTTTGCCATTAGCGTTTTCAATGTTGTTGAGCTGGTTAAAACACAAATTAAAATAATTATCACAAACACAAATTTCGCATTCATTTGTAATATTGGTTGGAAGAAGCCCATCGAAATCTGGCTCGTGAGTCCATACAATATTTGGCAGATTAAAATCGCCGACGACTACTATGTCACAGTTTGGATTTAAATCGCAGATACTCTGAACAGACAGCATATGTGCATTGTAAGTTTCGACAGCAGATTTGGGAGGCAGGTATATGCAACCTATGATGAGAGAGCGTGAGGGGATAGAAACTTTCACCCACACCTGTTCAGTCACTGAGTCCTCACTAGACACTTGCGAACATTTATATTTGTTGTTTATTGCTAGGAGAACACCTCCACCGCGACTTTTAGAACTATTTTGAGCATTACGGTCGTTCCTAAAAACATTATACCTGGTGTCTAATATTTCGCTGCTGTGTATGTCTGGTGATAGCCAGGTTTCAGTGAAAGCCAGGGCACAAAAGTTCTCTCCTAATACTTCACAATAGATGTCACTAAGCTTAGATCTGATGCCTCTGGTGTTCTGATAATAGACAGAGAATTTTGGGATTTCCTGATCAGAACCGTTGGGATCCAGCACAATGTTGCCTTTCATCCCATTTATTGAGCTTAGGTAGTTTTCTCTAAAAAAGATTTAGTTGAAAAATTGAAGCGTCTTACAACGACGCCCTGGGGCCAGAATTCTTCCTTGAACAGGGTATCTTTGTAGGCGAACTTCACACCAACCCTGAAAGACTGGTAGGATCCTTGAGTATTAAGCTTATCCACCGTCACTTCATCCGAGGGGAGCTTTCCACTAATGTATGATTTGACATCATCACTGCTTGTCTCTTTGTTAACCTTGCCGACATAAAACCAGGCTTTCTTCACATATGTTGACTTGAAATTACTCTCCGATGCCGATGCAGCAACGGACGTTCCTATTATGGGCGGAGGCTGCTTCTTCCTATTTCTTCGCGAACGTCGAGGTACGCTCCATTTTTCTTCAACGCTGACGTTCGAGAGACTGTCTTCTACTTCCGAATGCCAAGTGCGAGAGGGAGGCGTCTGAGGAACAGCTGATGTTTGTTTACACCCTTTATCATCATTTCTTATATTTTCGTTTCTTGTATGCAATTTCTCATGATTACTTATAATAAAACCTGGTTTTTTCGACATTGGTTCAGTTCTTTTCTGTCCAAAGTATGACGATGGAATAGGGTCCACTTTTTTCAATTTTGAGGAGAAAAGCGATTTATTATCTGATACATTAGCGCTGGTTAGAACTTTAACCAGGTCGATGTTACTTTCTTTGAGGGAAATAATCTCTGCTCGAAGGTACTTGATTTCCTCTAAAAGCGGTTCCATTGCTTTCTTTATTAAAACCGAAATATCCACAGTACTATTTGTAGGAGATGAGTGCAGGGATAGATTCACCGAATCCAATTCGTTTTTCGACGAGCCATCGACGTTATCGCAGCATATTATCTGCGTATCACTGATAAGCTTGATGTTTTTTAATATTTTCACACAACTGGGATGGCTTAACGAACCACATTTTACACATAATAACCCACTAACCGGTAAAATTTTACACTTCCTACACGGAAGTCCGGAGAGAGCTGGAAACACGTCTTTACTCTGTGACGTCTCACACTCTATTGATACAAGAAAATTGGTAAAATTCTTCAGAAACGTCACTTTTGAAGTGTTTTCTTGAACTTTTAAGCCAATCAGATACCCCACGGGCTCGGAAAGAGCAAAGAAACCATTAAATTTTAGCTAGAAACTGTATTTTTGTCGATTTTTATTAAATTTGAACTATATTTCAACATTTTTTGATGGTTCTGAGCCACGAAACACACTTAAAGCACGGAGAATCGTCTCAGATTAGGAAAAGGAGACGTTTAGGTGAATTTTATGCATTCTGGCATTCGTAGATACAAGAAAATTGGTAAAATTCTTCAGAAACGTCACTTTTGAAGTGTTTTCTTGTACTTTTAAGCCAATCAGATACCCTACGGGCTCGGAAAGAGCAAAGAAACCATCAAATTTTAGCTAGAAACTGTATTTTTGTCGATTTTAATTGAATTTGAACTATATTTCAACATTTTTGGATGGTTCTGAGCCACGAAACACACTTAAAGCATGCAGAATCGTCTCAGATTAGGAAAAGGAGACGTTTAGGTCAATTTTATGCATTCTGGCGTTCGTAGATACAAGAAAGTTGGTAAAATTCTTCAGAAACGTCACTTTTGAAGTGTTTTCTTGTACTTTTAAACCAATCAGATACCCTACGGGCTCGGAAAGAGCAAAGAAACCATCAAATTTTAGCTATAAACTGTATTTTTGTCGATTTTTATTGAATTTGAACTATATTTCAACATTTTTTGATGGTTCTGAGCCACGAAACACACTTAAAGCATGCAGAATCGTCTCAGATTAGGAAAAGGAGACGTTTAGGTCAATTTTATGCATTCTGGCTTTCGTAGATACAAGAAAATTGGTAAAATTCTTCAGAAACGTCACTTTTGAAGTGTTTTCTTGTACTTTTAAGCCAATCAGATATTCTACGGGCTCGGAAAGAGCAAAGAAACCATCAAATTTTAGCTAGAAACTGTATTTTTGTCGATTCTTATTGAATTTGAACTATATTTCAACATTTTTTGATGGTTCTGAGCCACGAAACACACTTAAAGCATGCAGAATCGTCTCAGATTAGGAAAAGGAGACGTTTAGGTCAATTTTATGCATTCTGGCGTTCGTAGATACAAGAAAGTTGGTAAAATTCTTCAGAAACGTCACTTTTGAAGTGTTTTCTTGTACTTTTAAACCAATCAGATACCCTACGGGCTCGGAAAGAGCAAAGAAACCATCAAATTTTAGCTAGAAACTGTATTTTTGTCGATTTTTATTGAATTTCAACTATATTTCAACATTTTTTGATGGTTCTGAGCCACGAAACACACTTAAAGCATGCAGAATCGCCTCAGATTAGGAAAAGGAGACGTTTAGATCAATTTTACGCATTCTGGCGTTCGTAGATACAAGAAAATTGGTAAAATTCTTCAGAAACGTCACTTTTGAAGTGTTTTCTTGAACTTTTAAGCCAATCAGATACCCCACGGGCTCGGAAAGAGCAAAGAAACCATTAAATTTTAGCTAGAAACTGTATTTTTGTCGATTTTTATTGAATTTGAACTATATTTCAATATTTTTTGATGGTTCTGAGCCACGAAACACACTTAAAGAATGCAGAATCGTCTCGGATTAGGAAAAGGAGACGTTTAGGTCAATTTTATGCATTCTGGCGTTCGTAGATACAAGAAAATTGGTAAAATTCTTCAGAAACGTCACTTTTGAAGTGTTTTCTTGTACTTTTAAGCCAATCAGATACCCAACGGGCTCGGAAAGAGCAAAGAAACCATCAAATTTTAGCTAGAAACTGTATTTTTGTCGATTTTTATTGAATTTGAACTATATTTCAACATTTTTTGATGGTTCTGAGCCACGAAACACATTTAAAGCATGAAGAATCGTCTCAGATTTGGAAAAGGAGACGTTTAGGTCAATGTTATGCATTCTGGCGTTCGTAGATACAAGAAAATTGGTAAAATTCTTCAGGAACGTCACTTTTGAAATGTTTTCTTGTACTTTTAAGCCAATCAGATACTCCACGGGCTCGGAAAGAGCAAAGAAACCATCAAATTTTAGTTGAAATTTTATTTTTGTCGATTTTCATTGAATTTGAACTATATTTCAAAATTTTTTGATGGTTCTGAGCCATGAAACACACTTAAAGCATGCAGAATCGTCTCAGATTAGGAAAAGGAGACGTTTAGGTCAATTTTATGCATTCTGGCGTTCGTAGAAACAAGAAAATTGGTAAAATTCTTCAGAAACGTCACTTTTGAAGTGTTTTCTTGTACTTATAAGCCAATCAGATGCCCAACGGGCTCGGAAAGAGCAAAGAAACCATCAAATTTTAGCTAGAAACTGTATTTTTGTCGATTTTTATTGAATTTGAACTATATGGTTGACACTTGACACTGAAGAAAAAGATCTTACCAATTTTCTAAAATCAAAGGTTCCAAATAGAGAATTTTTAATTGAAGCGCTATCCAAACGAGATAATGCCAAAAGTATCTCATTTAAGGTGACATTGGACCAAGAAATTTTTAATGAGTGTCTCAAAGAGGATCTATGGCCAAGTGGAATAATCGTCAAAATATTTTATTTTTTAAAGAAGGAGACAGCTACTGCTCACCAAACTTCAAGCGCAACAATGAGTGTAACGTAAATTCAAATATTCATATATCGTTTGCCAATGTTAATGACAATAATGTTAAGGTCTCCGAAATCAGGTTAACTAAGCCATTAAATTTAGAAAAGAGGAAAAATAATTTTACATTGTGTAATTCAAATGATTCTGTTATAAATCTTTTTCAGCTGAACATTCAAAGCCTTAGCAACAAAATTCTTCAAACGAATACATTTCTACAGGCTGATCAACCGCTTGATATTCTGTGCATCAATGAGCACTGGTTACAAGAGGATCAGTTAGGTGTCTGTTTATTTGAAAACTATACGTTATTGTCACATTTTTGTCGACGCGAACATATACATGGTGGTATAAGTATATTTGTCCATAACTCTGTTTTACCTTTATGTAAAACTTTAAAGTTCGAAAGATATTGCAAAGAAATTCATGCTGAATTTGCAGCTATTAAATTTAGAAATTTTAACATAATTTCTCTCTACAGATCCACTAAAGGTAGTTTCGACATATTCCTCCTACAATTAGAATTATTATTAACTGAAATGTGTAAAAAAAATGAACTAATTATTATTTCTGGTGACTTTAATACTTACTTTAATTTAAATGATAATCAAGTGCAAACGTTAAGGTATCTCCTAAGGTCGTTTGATTTAAAAGAACTTATTACTTCCCCAACTAGAGGCAAAAACTGTCTGGACAATATCTTCACAAACTTGTCCGGAGATAAATATTTAGCAATCGCTTACAACCCTGGACTATCTGATCATGCTGGTGTTTGTATTACATTTATGACTTCCAAAATAAATACAGTTAAAAAGGAAATAACACATCGTCCTGTAACACAATTAGGTTTGTTTAAATTTTATAATCATATGGAACAAGTAAATTGGGACTTTGTAGATAATAATACTTTAAATTGCCAAGAGAAGTTCGACACTTTTTATAAAAACATTGTAAATGCCGTAGAAATTTGTTTCCCTTTAAAAACATTTAGAACCACGAACATAACAAAAATAAAAGGGAGTTGGTTTACGGAACGACTTAGGGTGATGAGGGAACAGGTTAAATTTTATTGTGAACTTGCTAACCAAAATCAAATCAGTGCAGCTTATCTTAAACATCAAAAAAAAGTATACGCTAAAGAATTGGCTAAAGCAAAAAAATCTTACAATGACAATTATATTAATAATTCTTTGAATAAGCAAAAAGCAATGTGGCAGATTATAGATTCTGAAAGCAAAATAAAGGGTATTGAAAGTACAAACATTATCTCATGTGAAGATTTTAACAATTACTTCATAAATTTGAGTTCAAATTTGCAGGGAAATATTCCAATACTTGGACAAGATTTCCGATCGTACTTAACTTCAGATTACGATGCAAGTTTCACTTTTAAGGATGTCACTTTTAATGAAGTCCGTGATATAGTTTCAAAAATGAAAAATTCTAAAAGTAAAGATACTGATAATATATGCATATTAATGTTAAAAACAATTTTAAATCTAATTGTTATTCCAATGACAAAGGTAATAAACCATTGCATACAAGAGCATACGTTTCCAATACAACTAAAAGTAACTAAAGTTGTACCGATTCTTAAAAAACAAGGGGATATTAATTCCACAAAAAATTACCGTCCCATCTCATTGGTTCCAATATTTGGTAAAATATTTGAAACGATATTGAAAAATCAGTTAAGCGAATTCTTTGAAAGTTTATCACTCTTCAATTATTCACAATTTGGTTTCCGCAATAAGAGATCAACAACTCTAGCTACAAATTCGTTATGCTCGGAGATACTAAGGGCTTTCGAACAAAAACAAAATTCTTTATTAAGTGTATTTGATTTGCAAAAAGCATTTGACACGGTTTGTCATGATATATTATTATACAAGTTAAAATATTATCTTCGTTCTGAAAACAGCTTAAAATTGATCAGATCTTATTTAACTGACAGACAACAATATGTATATTTCAATAATTCAGCATCATCTAAGCAAAAATTAGTTGCAGGAGTGCCGCAGGGGTCAGTGCTTGGGCCATTTTTATTTTTGGTTTACATTAATGATATATCAAATCTAACTTTAGATGGTAAATTGGTCTTATTTGCAGATGATACGTTAGTTTTAATTTCTGGGAAAGATATTAACAGAATAAATGAAATGTCAAGTGAAGCCGAAACACAAATAAGTAATTGGTTCTCAGCGAACAAATTGTTAGCCAATAAAGACAAAACGCAACATTTACTTTTTTCACTTTCAAGTGAGATTAATAAAAAT